GGATGGTGAGGTGCAGCTGAATGAAGCCCTGCCTTTCCCCAGGAGCACAACTCCTGCGACCACCCTTGACACATCACCAACCAGTTGCAGGTTCCTGCCAAGCCCAATCAAGCTGCGTAGAGCACATCCCAGATCAACCTGCCATGCAGCTCGCGGAGATTTGCGAGCGAGGCAATGCACAGGCCCCAGCACACGGGCCCCTCACACCGCCCCGGTCCGCTGCGCCACCCACATGGCTCCCGCAGCAGGCTGAGCCCGTCCTCAATGAGCCGCCTGTAGCCCGCCTCTGGCGCGATGATGTGGGGCTGGTAACCGTCCGCCTCGTTGATGGTGTTGCGCACGTTCTTGAGCGTGAGGATCTTGTCAAAGGGCAGCTTGTAGATGGCCTCCTTGAGCTTCACGTCAAACACCTCCAGGATGCGCTCACCACCTTAAGAGGGGGGGGGGGAGCAAGAGCACGCCAGGAGGTTGAGGTGGCGCGGGGTTGGGCAGATTGCGGGTGGCAAGTGGGGGTTGAGGGCTGGAGGAGCAGGGCGGCGAGTGGTGCGATGGACATGAGACGTGTCTCAGTCCCTCCAGCAACGAGCTCACGCGGCGCGCGTTGTCAGCACTGTCGTTCACCCTGATCCTCACAATCTGTGAGAGGATGTGTGTGCCCCTCCCCCCTCACCTCCCTCGCCGCCCTCCACGATGCGCGTGAAGGCCTTCTCCACCTTCTGGCAGAGCGTCAGGATGAGGTGCAGCATCTTGCCGCGGTTGCCGCTGATGTCATGGCCCAGGGCCGTCAGCTGAGACTTGTAGTCAATGATGCTTTGGGGGTAAAAATAACGGGATGGGGCAATGAGGAGGCTTGTGTGTCAGGATGGGGTGGGGTTTACGAGGAGAGGGGGGGTGCGCCAGTAGTGGCTACAGAATGCTGCTGGGGCCACCCGTGGGACGCTCGTGGGTAGGCCCACCCTGTTGTGATGCAGGCGCGCTGCGCCCTTCAGCCCCGCTCCTCCCCCACTCACGTCTTGTCAACGTAAGACTGGATTTCTGGCAGCTTGCGGGTGATCTCGTTGACGAGGTGATTGCTCAGCTTGTTGGCCAGGTACGTGGTGCCGGTGTTGTCCAGGTCGCGGTACGACTCGGTGGACTGGGGGGGGGGGGTGAGCGCGGAAGGTTGCCGATGTGTAAGCGAAGCTGCAGGGAAACAAGGGCCATGATGTGCGGCAAACACGCAGGGCACGTGTGAGGGGGATGTATGAAGGCAGGGTGGGTGCAGTAGACGGGCCTGGAAGTGCTCTTCGCAGGTGAACGTTGTGCGTGACCGTCAGCTGGATTGTCATACCACAAGCAATGTGTGCGAGGGACGATCAGCTTGATCAGGTCTCAATATCACTTTGAGCTGCAAGCCTGCTGCGTAGCATCCAGCAGCAGCGCAGTCACGTTCTTGATTCCCAGCCTACATCCTGCTCCTCCACACCCGCCCCACTGCAAGTGACCCCCGTTGCCACCGCCCCAACCTTGAAGAATTCGGTCTCCCTGGAGCGCGCGTCCGCCATGTTCATCTTCTTGTTGATGTCCGCCTGCCCACGGTTCACCACCCCCACCCAGCCGTGGCGCAGGCGCAGGCTGCGGCCGCACAGCACCTCCCTGCCGGTGGAAGGCAGAGCAGGAGCCACAAGTATGCGCATGTCTTGCCAGCATGCCCCAGGACCACCCTTCAAGTCGCCGATACGCCCTGGTCGCTGAGAGCTGGTTTGACCGTGGTCACACGCTCCACCACTGCAGCAGCCGCCTGCCATGAGCAAACGGCGTTATGGGCCCCTCCGCCGCCCTCTTGCTGCAGCCTGGTGACAGGTCCACCCCCCCAACAGCCTCACCACCATCTCTGCCCCACCTGCAGTCCGTGCCCTTGTCCATGATGTCGATCTTGGTCAGCACGCCGATGGTGCGCTCACCCAGGGGGTCCACCTCCTTGGCCAGCCGCAGCGCGTCAGATGTCGCCAGATCCGCGTTGGCGGGGGACACCGCCAGGATGATGGCGTTGTCACCCTGCAAGGACACAGGAGCGAGGGGGTGTAAGCCAGACATGATATCAGCTACGTTTAAATACGTTTGAGGTTTAATCATTTTTAAAAAATATATAAAAAAAATTTTATTTTCATCGGAGGAAAAATTTAAAAGGTCTAAATATTTTCTGAGAAAAGGTTCAATGGGTGTGCAATTGGGGCGGCCTGGTAGGGTAGGCGCCGAACGTGCAGCAAACCTCCGCTGCATTCCGCCCGTCAGCCGGCGATACCACACTCGCAAAACCTGGCAACAAACCCACCGCCGCTACCGCAGGCCTGCGTTGCGGCAAGGCACACAGCTCGCGCCCCAGCTGCTGCTGGACAACTACCTGCCAGCCTGCCCCCTGCGACCGCACCTTGATGTACTGCTTGCACATGTCCTCCAAGTCCTGCACGATGCTCTGGGGCTGCCCCTCGATGGCCAGCTTGGTCAGGCCTGAGACCGAGCACGGCGGGAGTGCAGGCGCAGAGGAGGCCAGCCTGACATCAAAGTTGCAACACAATTTGCAGCAAACAGGGCTGACAAGGTGTATGCGAAGCGCCAAGTCCTTGTTCCTGAACCGTTTCTCCATCGCCCGTGACTCGCAGCACACAGCGGCTGGGCGGAGGGATGATTTTCCTGCCGCTGCCCTGCTGTGCTGGTGCTCTGTCCCTGCATGTGCCGGCGACCATGCTGCTCTCGCTCTCCAGCAGCGCCAGATTGCCAGATGGCGCAGGACTGGCGGCTGCAAACCCATGGTAAATGTACTCCAATGCTGCCTACTGCGCCATTGCTGGCAACTGTGTCGCTGCGCCGGATGCCAACAGGCTGGGGCCAGCCGCAGGGGCTGGCATCCCCACACAATGGCCTACAGCTCGCCGCCGCCAGCCAAATCGCAGCCAGAGTCGCGCGTCGCCAGTGCCACCACCGCCAGACTTGCCACAGCCGTGCAGACAACCCTTGCCAGCTGTAATACCAGAATGCCGCCATAGGCTCCATACCAACATACGTGTCCCCACGGCCTCACAACGTGCCAGCGGTCCTGACCCAGCGACGAGGTCAATTCTCTCCATGCAAATCCTCCCTTGGCCATACCAATATCCCGCCCCGCCTCTCTGTGCTGGCGCACAAGCGCACCGGGCATGTCAACAAGAGTCAGGTTCGGCACCACTGGGGAGTAGATAGTCAGGTAGATAGGAACGGGGCTGACCACCTTGCTGCCTTTGGAGAGGTGGCGCTCCGTCTCGTCCTCAATCTCCTGCCGGATCTTCTCTGTGGGTGGGGTGCATGAGGACACAAGAATGGATCAGTCCCAAAGCAGATGACACACGGGGGAGAGAGCGACGATAGTTAAGGCATTCAGCAGCTGCAGGAAAATCAGCAGTCACTGTGAGCCCACTCAGAACGCACAAATACTTATGCAACTAGTTTCACATGCGCAAGCTTTTGAAATAGGAGCATTCAAATCCTCAGCTCCCGCCGGCTTGCAGAGGCCGGCACACTGTCACCATATCCAAACAACTGCTGCCCCTTGCAGCTTTGCTTCAACCAACACAGCTCAAGCATGCCACGTACCAAAGTCATAGATCTTCTGCCCCTGCCTGTGCATGAACTCCCCATACTCCTGGGCCTTGGGGTCGTCAGTGTGCACCAGGTTCAGCACCAGCGGGCGGCGCGTGACGATGCCCGTGCCGCGCGGCAGGAAGTCTCTGCCCACCACCGCCTCCAGCACTGACGATTTTCCCGAGCTCTGTAAGCATGGTCGTCAAGGCGAAGCGCCCACAGGCGACATGTCTTGTTGAGCCCCTTCCAATTGGTGCACTGCACCAAAACAACGAGCCATCCCATCGGCATGGCTACGCGATGCATGGACCTCCCGAGTGTGCCATGGATATCTGGGCATTGTATCTGCCATTTACGACGCGATCGGTGCCTCGTCAAGGACGTGCACACCGGCCCTGCAGCAGCTCCCATCCTTCACGGTTGGTCCCCTTGCCTGCTGCACCTCCGAGCTCTCAGCCGGCCCATTTCTGTGCAAAAAACTCACCTGGCCTCCCACGACCACGATACTGCTAAGCTTGTCCACCAGGATGCTGTTCCCGGCCGTGTCGCCGAGCTGGGTGCATATCTGCTGCAGTTTGTTCACGAGTCCCACGACCTGACCGAAAGTGGCGGGCTGCTGCTGGGCCATCCTGCTGGCGTGAGGGCTGCACACAGCCCAGATCGCTCGAGGCACTGACTTTGCTCCTGCGCCGACGTCCGGCTTGCAGGGCACGCTGATATAATCTATAGCAATCAATCAAACCGATCGTGGGGCTTTGGCATAGCGGCCTTGTTACGGCAGCATGCTTGTGCAGTTGGGGCATGAAGCTGCCTGTGCCCTGCGTGTGCATGCACTCCAATCCTGCACTGGAGGGCGGCACAACTCCAAACCTGTGACTGCGCTCATCATTTGGGACAGATCAGATGTTTGCAGGCATGTTGTGGGCGCTCGTCGTGATTCGCAGCACTTCATCCGCAACCCCCTGGAGCAGTCGGGTGCATGTGAAGTGACGAACAGGTTGGACGTTGAGTGCAACCCCAGTGCCCAGGATGGTCACTTGCAGCCGCTGCAGGTGCCCAGCTGCTCGCAGCACGTTCCTGATGGTGATGGCCACCTGCACAGCGTTGCTCACTCCCCCACGACACGGGCCACAAAGGGGTTACAACCAACAGGAAGCCATCGCTGGCATTGTTTGTGTCCGAACAATGTGTACTGTACTGCAGCTGATTACTAGTGTCACGGCAGTGGTCTGCGTGACCGATTCACAGGGAAAAGGGACAAGAATACCGTGTAAGACGCAATTCCGCCCACCCAAGCATCTAATGTCAGGGCTAGCACTTTCGCCGTAGGATTCTGAACATGGGAAATGCAAATAGAGATTTCTGTGTGCTCTAGGCTGAGAAAGTTTCTGGTGCCTCCAGGTATGTTTGCTGCAGGTGAATGTGAATGGCTGCTTTACCATGCTGCATGCAATGATTGCGATGTTCAGATCCCCACGTATGCGACTTCACGCAGGCTTAATCAACAATGTTTCTGCCCCTTACGTGGACCTACTGTATCAGGAGCTTGGGGTGAAGCAGGCCTAGGGGTGGCCTGCATTATCACGAGCTGGTGAAATCTAAAGTAGCACTATATGCGCAGTGGCTGCGTAGCTGGCCCCCTGCAGGTGTGTGCCGCCGCCGCCGCCGCCGCCGCCGCCCCTGCTGCTGCTGCTGCTGCTGCTGCCGCCCCTGCTGCTGCTGCTGCTGCTGCTGCTGCTGCTGCTGCTGCTGCTGCTGCTGCTGCTGCCGCCGCCGCGGTGACGCCTGCCTGCCTTGCCGTCCTCCGCCTACCTGCATCGTTGCTTTGCAGGTTCTGTTGTCACGCGCAAACCAAGGATCAACTTGACGTGTACCTCTACTTCCTTAGAGTCCTAGTCAGCCGTCATCGTCTCGGGTGTGAAGTGACAAGTGTGCGGCATTCTACAGTAAAGTGCTCAAAGCAAGTGGGTTATCCCTTCCCTGTCAGATCAAGATACACCGGAATAGCCCATTCGCTTTCAGCATACTGCTGCTTGTCCTGTGCGGTGTCCACGGTGGTGACCACTTTATGCGCCCCACGGTAATCGCCCTCGTTATTGCATGCATGGTGCGACGGAATTTTGTCTTTATGGACCCACCTGGGAGCAAAAAATCCACTTACTTGCGCGCACACGCCGCGCACTGCAAAGTCGACAGATCGTTCGAAACTGAATCGTGGTACATGTGTCGTTGTTTCGCATGAACCGATGAGCGGCTTTTGAAAACAAAAGTGTTGCCTCCCGGTTCCAGTACTATAGGCTGCCGCTGTGCTTTACTGCAGTGTACTGTCTCAGAATCAACCCAGTTGCGGAGAGCGCCGCGGCGCATGGGGCTCGCCATCGCCCAGTGTTTGAGAGCCGGCTCAGCCAGCAGCAGCCGCTAGTGCAGGCATCATGCTAGTCAGGGCGGGAGAGCACCACCTGTGGGTGCGGGTCGCCGGCAGTGGCGCCCGCGTGGCGCTGCTGATACATGGCTTCCCGGACGACGCCTCGATCTGGGACCCCCAGATCAACGCACTCACCGCGGCCGGGTGCGCTCGAAATACTGGACTGTCACAGCATTATGCGTGGCACGACTGCGCTCAAACCTCCCTGCCGTTCCTCCTTGGCAGCGGCGCCCATGGCTCTGCACACGGCTGGCGCCCATGTGTGCAGACGCTGCCATTTCGGCCCAATCGCAGCAGCAGCAGCAGCAGCAGCAGCAGCAGCAGCAGCAGCAGCAGCAGCAGCAGCAGCAGCAGCAGCAGCAGCAGCAGCAGCAGCAGCAGCAGCAGCAGCAGCAGCAGCAGCAGCATTAATGTCGCGCTTAACCTTGTACATGCTCCATGCTCCCTGCTGTATCCTTTCTATCCCCTTGAGTCCCCGTGTGCTCCCCCCCCCCCAAAGATACCGCGTGATCGCACCCACCATGCTGGGCTACTGCGGGTCCGACCCCGCCACCGCCAGCGACGCACCCTCAGACGTCGCCGCCTACAGCCTGGGGCGCGTGGCCGAGAGCCTGGTGGGGCTGCTGGATGAGCTTGGGGTGGCGCGTGCGGCTGTGATGGGCCATGACTGGTGAGGGCTTCCGGGTATGGGGTGTGTGTGTGCTTGTTTCACGGAGAGGTTGGGGGCACCGCATCACCGACAGAATGACAAGGATCCACAGTGCCAGGGCCGCAGAGGCGCTTGTGGCAACCCATTCCAAGCAGGGCTCGCCTGTACATGCGTGGCATGTGCACCCTCCTCACACGCACGGATCGACTACCAGGGGCGCCGCTGTCGCGTGGCGCATGGCGCTGGCCTACCCGGAGCGTGTGGAGCGGCTGGCGGTTGTCAGCGTTGGCCACCCAGGTGCGCCCTACTGCCCGGCGCCGGCACACACATGCAATTGACACTGCATTGAGCAAATCGTGATGGGCCGGATTGATCCATCCTGGCCCTACCCTCTGATGCCCTGCAGAGTGTGGGGCCGCTGCAGCCGGCATCGAGCAGCGCAGGAGCTGGTGGTACCTGTTCCTCTTTGCCACCCCGGGCGCCGAGGCCTGGGTGCGCGCCAACGACTGGGCCCTGCTCCGGGAGATGCTGGGCTCTGCGGGTGGAGCCCCACCGGACGCCATGGCCACCTACCTGCAAAGGCTGGGCCAACCAGGTGAGAGCGGCAATGCGAGGGGCGACACCCAGCCCGTTGGCCCTGCTTACTGCTGCTGGCAGGGGTGTGCTGCGTTGGTGCAGCCGCATGCCTGCAGGGCTGAAGCTGCACTTACTGTCACCTGCACGAGCTTCCACTCTGGAACTGGCTGGGTTTTGATGTCCCGTCTATCCTTTTCTCACAACCGCAGGCGCCCTGCAGGCGGCGTTGCGCTGGTACCGTGCCAACCACAGCCCCGCCGCCATCGCCTCCACGCGCATCCGCCACGGCGCCTGCCCCCTCCTTGCCATGCCCGTGATGGGCGTGTGGCCCAGCAGCGACGGCGTGCTGGCAGAGGCGCAGATGACAGCCAGCGCGGGCTTTGTCGCCGACCTGCGGCTGTGGCGCTACGAGCGCCTGGAAGGCGCGGGCCACTGGGCACAGCGTGACGCGCCCAACGAGCTCAACAAACTGCTGCTCAGCTTCCTGGGGCAGGACTTTGGAGATGCTGCCAAGCAAGACAATGGCGCCCAGGTACAGCAGCAGCGGCGGCAGGAGCGCTCACGATTGTGAACGGCCACGAATTCATGAAGGCGCTGACTAAGCCGGCCGGTGTGCTGGCGGTTGAGTGCCAGGCGCAGCAATGAACATCCCTATTGTAACTCTCAAGCCCGCGCGGCACCACCTCAGCTGTTACATGCATCAGGGGACGATGGAGGATGAGGCACGGGGGCTTAAGGCCTTCACACCAGTCGCCGCTCACGTGACAAGAGTGTGGGCTGCCGGGTCAGGGGGGATAACCTGGCCACCGTGGCACGATTTTTTGAAAGTGTCCACTTCCTGCCAGGCCACAGGCAGGCAGGCACATGCGCCTGCCGGCCCGTCTCCTGCAGGATGCAACGAAATTGATCGCAGCAGCTCAAAAGCCCCCCGAGACATGGCAACTTTGTACTCGTGTGCATATCTTGAGAGGAATTGTGCAAGTTCTCATGGTTAATATATACAAATAATAGGCATGTGTGCATAAGTGCAGCCGAGCTGGCTGTCACGAATCACATCCAGCAGCACAGTTAGAGTGTGCGGGGGCACGAACACATGGTGCCCTTTGGTCGCCGGCATCTGGCTGTTCTGACAGCAGCAATACGGACCCGCTCCTTGCAGCAGCACGAGACAAGCCACTGATCAGGTGGCCACCCTCTGGGCCAGAGGTCGGTGCGTGGTGGTGGGCTTGCGGTCGTCGTGGCCCCCGCCCTCGTGCTCGTCGTCCTCTGGTCCCACCGGGGGCTTGGTCTTCTGGTCTGAAGTCATAGAGTCAGGAGATGACGGCATGCAAGAGGTCAGAGCAGCGCAATATTGCCATTCGTAAAGGCATGGGGATGTCAGGTAACACCGTGGTCAGCGGTGTTGGCCTAGCCAGGCCTGCTTGTGCCTCTTGCATTCCCCACCCATGGCCGCACATGTTTGGACATCAAGACAAGACCCTGCTGCTCCACTGGCGGTCCACAAAACGTGCAGCACTCTGTTTTTGTCCGCAAGCTATGCCCCATGTCCCTGATGCAGCAACCGCCTGACACCAACAATGCAGTTGATCCTCCCAAGTAATTCCCGCACCCGCGCACCGAAATAATAAGTCTGGTAGGGCCCGTCATAGTTGTCCTCAGCCATTGTCTGATGGGGCAGAGGCAGGAGTGATAACATTCAGGGATGACAGGTGCAAGCAGTGACTCGCCCTCGCAGGCAGTAAGCCAGGCGTACTCCAGCACACCCCATTCCAGCTTTCAAGAGTGTGGGGCAACTCCGTATCCGGTGCGTCCCTGTGCACACAGTGCCTTCCAATCCCCTCACCCCCTACCTCAAAGCGCGCGCTGAACACCGGGGCCGTGGAGTAGATGAGGTCGGCCAACTCCTGCTCTGGGCTCTCGGGCTTGTGGCTGCTGCGCCTGGTGAATTCAATCAGGAGGGGGGCCGGGGGCAGGGAGGATGGCGTGGGGTGGCCACAATGAGCTGGGCGTTGTCCAAGGGCTTTAGGCAGCATTGACCCTAGAGGCCAAACCGAATTTCCACCAGCTTCGAAGCCTCCTCTTCCCCGTGCCCACCTGGCAGTGTCGACGAACTTGTTGGCAAACCACTGTCCCACACGCACGGCGTCCAGGGTATGGGGCACCTTGTGAAGGAAACAGAGAGGGTTTTGTGAGGTCAGCTGCGCTGATCGTAGTGAAATGCCGGCTGACTCCATGCTATGCGCCGGAAGGGAAGCTCAGCAGTGCAGTCTGGCAAACGGGCCATGCCCAGCACCTCTTCGGTCCTTGCCACCACCCCTTCCCCTTGACCATTGCCAGCCCAGTGCCGCAGGAAGCGCACCTCGTCCATTCCAAATTCGCTGGTAGGCTTCTCGGGGTGCCACTGGGTGCCTGGTGGCGGGGCCAAGGGCGTTGGCAGGGTGAAGAGGTGACCAGTGCCCTCAGATGAACAACATCCATAGGGCCCACCTCCAGCATCACCCTCCCTCCCCAACTCAGACCGCGAACCCCTGGTTGCCCCCCTCACCCGTAAAGGGGTACTTCTTGGCCTCAACCGTTGAGATGTACTCGAGCCCCTTGCGGTCCTTGGAGGTGGTGAGCACGTTGAACCACTCCCCCAGGAGCGGCCAGCGCTGGTAGTGGTGCGGGGGAATGCCGTACTCGTGGTTCTGCATCGCGATGTTCAGCTTGGGGTCTTCCAGCTTGCTTCGTAGGTCGGCCTGCATGTGTGTATGTGTGTAGTTGTGTGTTGGTTTGCAAAATGGGAAAGGCAAGTGTTGCTTTACGATTTTTCTCGCAATGCACAAGAAGGAGGGTGAGGGTCTCGCAATGCACAAGGAGGAGGGTGAGGGGCGGGTGAGCGAGGGGCTTTTGATCAACCCGCTTTTTGCGCGTCGGGCGTTGATTACATGCAATGTGGCGCAATCGCATCGTAATGTCCATCTCAGGCGTGCATGCCTTCGTTTCCACCCCAACCCCTTCAATCCCGACTGCACCTGTGAAAAGGCATCTCACCGGCAGGCCGCTGAAGGTGTGGCTGCTGCCCGCGCTGTCGGTGAAGATGAGTGTGCTGGGCTGCGTCACCGCGTCTGTCTCCACCAGCAGGTCGTTGCGGCTCACGTTGGATGCCAGGATGTGCAGCAGCTGGTGGCCCAGGCAGGTGCCGTGAATCTAGGGGGGGGGGGGGCAGCGTGTGGGAGGAGGACACGAAGCTGGGAGTTGTCATGAGCGCGGCTCTGTTTCATGGGCAGCGCTAAGCGTAATAAGACTGCCCTCTGTAGAGCGGTGGACCTTCTCCAGGCAGGTGGCAAAGGACATAGCAGGGACAGAGAAAATGAAGAGGTAGTGACTCACCGGGAAGACGTCCCCAGCCTCATTGGCCTGGATCGCCCAGTTGAAGAGCTTGCGGGCCGCAATGACGTAGGGTGAGTCCAGCCAGAGCCACGTCAGGCCGCCCTGTCAGAGGGGCAGGGTGGTCGAGGCGGCGGGAGCGGGTGCATGCTGAGCGGGGGGGTTGAGCGCAGGAAGCGCCCAGCGTGGCGCGGTAGGGTGTCAGTACAGCATCAGGCTGCTTGAGGCCGATGCCACGCAAGCCACGCTTTCCCAGCCGTTTCAGGCGCAACCAGGGAGCCCTCACGCAGCCGACCCATCTGCCCCTCACCGCGAACACGAGGCCGTTGACGCTCTTGAACAGGCGGTGCAGCTCCGCGTCAGACGCGTAGAACCTGGGCGCAAGGGCAGGGGTCGTGGGGGAGTGCACATCTGGCCCATGTGCTGCCACTTTGCCCAGACACCGCAGCCCGATCACGCCTGAGGTCTCACCCACTGAGGAACTACCTATGCCTGGCCATTTGCACACCTCATCAACACATCCTTAGTTGTCTGCCGCAGCGGCAGCGCATTGCCGGCGCCTCTCCCCCACCTGATTGGCACCACGCGGCCGCCCGCAGACTCGATCCACTTGACGTAGCTAATTGGGGGTGCAAGGAACGGGCTGGTAATTCAGCATCAGAGCGCTTGGGGGCTGCTCGCAACTACCACTGCCAAAACGTGAGCGCCCGTGCGCATCACATCCTGACCGGCCTTGGTCCCTGCCCATGCGCCCGTTCGTCAGTGTCACCCCGAGCTGACCACCCCGCACCTTGCTGCGATGTAGCACCTGGCGACAAGAGAAACAGAGAGAAACGAGCGGGTGTGGCCAGGTGGTGAGCAGTAGATCATGCCACGCCTTGCATGCTGTCCCGGTCAGCCGCTACGAGGCCTCGGTGCCCAGAGCAACCCCTCACACAAAAACCCTCGCACCTGCCGGGGCAGTCGGTGCAGGGCTGTGTGAGGACACCGATGATTGGCTGTGTGTTCTTATACCCAGACGACTTCCTGGCACGATCCACAACAGCCGCCACGGCGCGCTGCTCATCACTTCGACCAACAGCGGGCCTGGCTGTGGCACCGTTGGCGGCGGCCAGCACAGCCACGAGCGCCAACAGGACAACCATATGCATCAAGCGCGGCATACTGGCTGCCTTGTGGCTGCCACGTGATCCCCGCGCGTGGCGGCAGAGATAGCTTTCGGGTCACGATCCAACGAAAGATCACGAGGTGGGTCAATGCACCTGTTAGCGCTATGCGCTGTGAGGCAGAAGCACGTGCAAGAGCTCCGGGATCAATGAGAAGCCGTGTCGAAATTTTGTTTGGCAGGGTGAAGATGCTTCACCTCTGAATCTATGCTATGCGACGAAACATAGGTAAATTCAGGATCCATGGAAATAGCGACCACAATGTAGCTGTGCGTGCCTATGCGCTGATGCAGGCAAATCCAGCAGAAGTTGCGGCCAGCTCACCGACGGCTGACGGCCAGGCTGGCTTGCCTCAGGTGTCCAGCGGCGCCCCTGGTGCACGCAGATACTGCGTCACAGCTGAGATCCAGTAATGCAGGCACCTGCGCCCCGCTGGAATCTCTATGCGAGGCGATTGACCGCCGCATGTCAGGCCAAGACAGGTCTGACCAGGTGACAGCGCATGGTGATGGCCAGGCATCCCGCAGTTGTTCAGCAGTGGTGTTACAGCTTTGGACGTCAGCTGCGTCCTGGCTCAGTATGCAGGTATGTCGCTCCACCGGTAACCCGGAACCCTGCGCCAGCAGCACCATGCGATGTGGCTGTGATACGCCCCTGCAGGCGAGTTTGGGAGTTGGGGTGTTCATCATGATTCCAACTTGGCTGCAACAACAGTAGGTGCGGCGGCTGCCCACGCGCGGAGGGGCAGGCCCGCACTGAGCCTTTTTGCCAGGGGTGGCGGCCGCTTGTGGGGTGGTGTTACGGCAGGCTCACCTGGAAGAAACGTCAGAATACCCACGATACTAAACCCGATCTCCTGTTGGCGTCAGGGGATTGGGGCGTTGCGTGTGGGGGCTGGCAGCAATCGCCCTTGCCACACCAACCACGCCGGGCGTTGCCTTGGAACCAGTTGCCCCACCCTACCTGGTGCAATCACCGGCAAGCGGAAGCTGTGTGCGCTCGTACAATCAGCGCCCGCCCAAGCAACACGCACACCACCACACGCACCGCCTGCTCCTTGCCGAACAACTGCTGCGTCCAGTGCAGCCACGCGAGAACGAAGGATACAATCCCAAACACAGCGAGGAACACCGCCAGCACGACAGACCCCCAGGGGACCTCCTCTGGTGGCGCCGCAAAACGTAGATGCTCCTCTGACGCCCAGCCCTGCGGCGGAGGGTCAGTCGTGTCGGCGCTTGCCAGTCCTGGAGTACTTGCGCCACAGGGGCGGTCGCTGCCCGGTCACAAGGGCACGCCTCACATCGTCCGTTGCATCAAGGCGGGTGTAACCCGATTGTCTATTCCGTAACATCCTTCTTGTTCTGTTGTATGATCATGCTTTCACGGGTGGCCACGCTTCAGGAAATCGCGCGTGATCTAGCTGGAAGAACAAGAACACGTCCGACCTATCGGAATTCATCCAGAACAATTGAAGCCTGATTGATTGATCAAGGCAGCTACCGCGTTCTCGCATGGAGTCCGCTGCGAAGGGCGCGAGCCCGCTGGCTGTGCAGCTGCGTTGCGAGCTGCGGCAGCAGCCCGGGCGCTGCGACACGGAGGACGGCAACGCCAGCACCAATGGCAGTTGGCCGTGCAAACGAAGTGCACACTGCCTTTTGAACAGGTACTGCCGTACTGTACCCTCGCATCTCCCAGCACGCCCAGGTGCTGACCGCTAGCTGAGGCGTGCACTCGTCGTGTTTGCAGGTGGCCTGGCAAGGTGTCGTCGCCGCGTGGCCTGCTGATGCTAGCCGGTGACACCACCGGCCACCCGGGCGGCACCGTTGCGGGTGTCACCGGCCGCGACGGCAGCGGCGGGCAGGGCGCAGAGTGCCTGGCAGTTGGCGCGGCCTGCCGCCGCCTGGGTGACGTGTGGCTGCTGGACCTCGATGCTGACGCCAGGGTGCGCGGCACGAGGCGGGGGGGAGGGGCGGTGCTGCATCAGGCATGATCGCACGACTGCTCAGCAGCAGCGCGCGCCAGGGGTTTTTAAATGGGACAACAACGTGCGTGTAGGCCGGCGGCTGTTACGTCCCGCTGGTCAAGCTGCCCCAATCCGCGGGGGTTGACCAAACGGCTGCGTCCCTTCCTGTGAAGCAGGGCAGTGTGGAGCCGTGGCGGCAGCTGCACCCTGAAGGTCGCGGCTACACGCCTCGCAGCAATGCCGCCGCAGCAGTGGTGGGGCACCACCTTTGCGTCTTTGGCGGCTGGGACGTCACCGGTGCGCGGTGCCATCAGTCAGGCACACCCGGCATCCGCCCTTGCAGAAGTCCTGTGCGGCCTGGCGTATTTTCCTCCCTGTCCTTATAATGACTATCAGATTGACACTCTAGGTAGTTCAGGTCTCTGAGCGTGTTGCTGCAGCGCATGCGGCTGCAGTGCATAAGGTTTGCATTGCTGCCCTTCACTATCTTGTACGCCTGCGATCGGCCCTACCTCTCGGCCCCTTCTCCCCGACATCACCCCTCCACCCCTCCACCCCTCCCCTCCCCCCAAGGCACGCGTCCCCTGGCTGATCTGGCAGCCCTGGACCTGGACACCAATGTCTGGACCGCACCACACACCACCGGCGACGCCCCGGGCCCCCGCGGACAGCCCTCGGCCGTAGCCACCACGGCGCGCCCGGGGCGCCCCGCGCAGCTGCTGCTCTTTGGCGGTTGGGACGGCACGGCACGCTATGGCGACCTGCACGCGCTGCATGTAGGGGTGTGGCGCTGGGAGCGGCTCGCGCCCCGAGGGCCGCGGCCGCCCCCGCGCTCGGACCACACGTGTGTGACGTGGCACTACTGCGACGATGGAAGGTGGAAGGACCTGGCGGTTGTGTTTGGGGGGTCGTCGGATGTGGGGCTGCTGGCTGACACCTGGCTCTACGACGTCGACACGGCGCTGTGGACGCAGGTGGGTGAGCGGCGTTGCGGATGGCTGACACCAGGCCGGGATCCAAGCTGGTGGGGCGAGGGCAGGTGGGGGTCCATCGCCAAGACAGCAGCACGCCAGGCCTAGCATTGCACAATCTTGGCGGGCTGTCTTGTATGGGATGGCCACATGCAATGCCCTTGCGGGCTGATGCGGCCCATAGCCCCACCGCGCCCGCAACGACGTCACCCTGCGTGCCTGTCAACCAACACCACTCGGCGATGGCTCCCAGGGTCACTGCGGCGGCACAGCACCCTGCGCGCGCAGCAGCCACGCGGCGGCGGTGGTGGGCGACCTCATGGTGGTGGTGGGGGGCCAGGTGGCAGGAGGCGGCGTGCTGTCAGACTGCCACATCCTGAAGCTCTCATCGCTGACCTGGATACAGGCAAGCCTGCAGCAAGAGCACGTTTCATTCTTGGCGGGTTTTGCTGCGCATACTCTTGCAGCACAAAATGGGGATTGGAATTTGAACTGTCCCGGTCACCCACTGCCACCGGATGAGAGCAGCCTCAGCCACCATCCTATCCGCCTGCTGGCTGCCTGCAGGTCGACCTGGGTCCCCAGCCCCTGCCCCCGGTGTGCCGCCACGCCGCCGCAATCGCTGAGGGCAAGCTCTGGGTGTTTGGGGGCTGGTGTGGGGACGACGTTGGGCCCACCAATGCATTGGGGGTGATCGATCTTGCCGGCCTGCTGCGGCCCAGGGCCCCTGCAGCTGACCCTGTGGTTGCCAAGGGCGCGCATGACCTACAGCAGCGGCAGCAGCAGCAGCAGAGACGCGGACAGCTCGACGAAACAGTGCGCCCCGTCCAGCAGCAGCAAACACAGCTGGATGTGGAGACAGCAGCCGCCACTGATGACCAGCCGCCTGCTGGGCCGCTGGCGGACATAGAAGAGGCGCCCGCGCTGTCCCTGGCCACGGCCCAGGTGTTGTGGAAGCTCAGCGCACCACCGCTGACTGTGGATGACCTGCCAGAGCACGAGGCGGCGCGGGCACTGCCCAAGTGGCGGCTGATACGCCGGCTGCACCAGGTGGTCTGGGCATATGTGGGGGCATATGCGGTCAGAGTGCACTTAGTACACAACGCGCCGGGCACTACGCTGCGTGCACTGTCATCATCACCAGACACCCCGATGCGACGTTTGGCTGCGCCATGCGTGCACGTTGCACCGCAGGCCGCCTTGGACGCAGGGTGTCAGAGCTACATCGACCCTGACAGCGGGTACAGCGTCTTCACAAGCGCATACCTCAGAAGCCGCCAATGCTGCGGCAACAAGTGCCGGCACTGTCCATGGGGATGGGCAAACGTTGTAAGCTGCGACACGTAAAGGCAATGTGTTCCCGACTCTCTTCACATGCGTTTGTTACAAGTTGCTTGCGAGCGACCGCGGTGTCAAACGCCCGCCATGTGATGGTCACCACCGCCGATGCCGCGCGGCACAGCGGGGTGCATGGTCGCAGCAGCAGGAGCGGCCTCAGCCTGCGCCGTGACAGAGCCTGAGCCGTCCAAGGTAGGGGCCAGCGGGGCGCTGACGTGGTGGTGGTGATGGCCTAGTTGCTGCTGACCGGCTGCCGGCACGCTCTGATCGCTGCTGCCGTGTGCACTGGCCACGCTTTGGAGCACGGCATCGCCTTGAGCCAGCTGGTGCTGCCGCTGCTGCTGCTGTTGCTGCTGGATGTGGCCCTGGGCGCCAGCCATCGTGTGGGTGGCAGCCAAGGAGCCGGCAAACGGTGACGGCTGCTGCTGCTGCTGCTGCTGATGATGATGATGATGCTGGGGCCCAGGAGTGGCTTGATTGGGGCCACTGTGGTGCTGCTGGCCGCCGTGAGTGGGTGTGTGCGGGAGCTGTCCAAGGCGGCTGCGCTGTGGCGGCAGGGGCGGCCGCAGCGCCGATGTGCCCGTGTCTGTGGGTGCAAAGTTGCAAAGGTTGAGGCAAGGCTAGGATGCAACAGAAGGGTTTAGGGTTGACCAAGCGGGCCAGAAACTCGAAGGCATGCGAGGGCGCCCACCATCAGTTCAAAGGTGTGCGCTGCCATGCTGATTGCTGAAACAAACACGCCGCGCCCAGCTCCCAGCCCTACCTGAAAACCGCCGTGCAGCCGAAGCTTTGGAGGGTGGGAGGCCCAGCGCAGGGGTCCCGCCCACTGCCCCACCAGGGTCGGCCTTGGATCCACGAGCCGCGCCTGCAGGGGCGGTGGGTGGGGGGTCGTCCACGCGAGGCCCTCCGGGGAGCAGGGTCACGCTGCGCGCCTTGAGCCCTGAGGAGCAACGCGATCGGGAAATGAGCGGCGTTTGAGTGCTGGCAACGAAGAGCTTGGTGGCCGAATTACGGGCAACCCCAAGCGCTGGCAATGTTGCTGTCACTGGTCGCAGAAGCGCCCCAATGAGGATGAGCCTTGGCTCTGCGGGACCAGCGCGCCGCCTTGTAGCCCACAACAGCCCGCCCGGCAGCCCACCTGCCCCGACCAGGACGCCCGGCCACACCACCCCGGCGTGCTCGCTGAGCGAGTGGTCGCGCAGCAGGCCCGCAGGGAAGCCAGACACCTCCCGCCCGCCGCCCGCCGTCGCAGCATTGCCCTGCCCCAGCTGCTGCCCCTCCGTCGCCGTCGCGCCGCCGCCGCCGTCCTTGCCGTTTGGTGGCGCGTCATGGCAGGCCCCCAGGAAGGACTGCAGCTGCCTGAGCTCCAGTGCGCTGCAGCGGCCCAGGTCCACCTCCACCTCCAACCTCGACTCTGGGGCACCAGACGACGCCAGGTGGGGGGCCATCTGGCATGGCGGCAGCGGTGGTGGTCACGGGAAGTGGACCATGCGTGAGCGCACGCACATTTAAACGCAGGTTGGGTTGGGTGAAGGACAGACACATGGGCTGCAACATCATGGATTGCGAAGGGGTTGCAGGCTGCCGCTGTCGCAGCAATGCCAGTGTTCACGCTGGTGCTGGTGCGTGCTGCAAGCGATTGGCACACCAGGGGCTGGAGCCAAAAAGTGCGCAATCACCTGCGGCAGAACCAGCCCGAGGGCCGCCTCCAGCTGGGCCGTGGGCAGGGCCGCAAGCGCCCGCGCCAGCTCAGCACGCGCCTCTGGTGCCAGGGGCTCGCAGGCCAGCGCCGCCTCCACGCGCACCGCTGCCAGCTGCTCATGCAGGTCGTCCAGGAACGCCACCAGCCTTAGATGGTTGGAGGGGGGGTGCGGTGTGTATGTGTGTGTTAGGCCAGGGGGAGGGGTACGGGCTGTGAGGGATAGGCTGGGGCGATGGGCGCGACGGTGGGATCATTTGGTGCCGACACACGCAAAAAAGGTCGCGGGGCGTGGTCCAGCCAGCTCTGCAGCCGCAAAAACGCATGAAGAGCAGTGGAACGAGGGGTTTGTGTGCACCACAGCAGCCAGGCAGCCCATTGACCCCGGCCGGCCAAAGGATCAACCGTCTGGAAGAGCGCTTGCAGGGCCGCTTACTTGCAGGCTGCGTCCTGCATTTCTCTCTCCTCCTCTGCGCGTGCCACTGCCAGCTTGCGGCCCGCCATGGTGGCCTCCTCTGCCGCGCTCTGCTTGGCGCACTCCTGCAGCTTTGGCACCACCACCTTCTTCCACTGCTCCAGGAACGCCTCCTGGGAGGTTCGGGTGGGGTGTGTGGGCCGGTGGGTGGGTGGATGTGTTGGGGCATGAGAGGGACGCTTCAGGCAGGCGTGATTGTTTTTGGTATAATACCGGGCGCACACACTGCTCCACCCCTGCATCAAGGGTGTAGCACCAGGGGTACACAGGGTGATGGCCGAAATCGGTCTCACATGCCCTCGATCATGCCCCAACTGGCGCACACTCCTCATGCATATGCACCTGCAGCACTGTTGACATGTAGTACACGTCGGACCCGGGTGGGTTGTACTGGCGGCTGTTGGTGAACACCAGCATGAAGTCGGTGTACACCTTGGGGGGTGGGGGAGGGGCGGTGTGGAGTGGGCGCAGCAAAATTGAACGGCAAGGGGCCAGCAGGGCTGGGTGCAAGTGCTGGGTGCCGGACCCACGACTGGCCACCTCAGTCAGGGCGAGCCCATTCTGGGGCTGGGGCACGCCAGACAAGGCGTAGCCGGCCGGAGGAGGTCGGTCCCAGAGCCACCGCCGCTCGCCCGTGCCTCCTCTGTTGTGCTCTGAGGCTTCCTCCATCGACCTGCGTCACGCCCGGTTGCTCCCCCTTCACACCGCGTAGCAGAGCTACAGCGCACCTGCTGCGGGTCCCTGTACGCCCCCCTCTCCGCCCTGTCCTTCATGGTGCCAAAGTCCATGGGCTCTGCCACCACCTGCTGGTAATCCGGGTAGCGCTTGACGTCCACTGGGGTGTTGAAGGGCCACGAGAACTGTCAGGAGGCAAGGGGGGCGAGGGGCGGCGAGAGAAGGTGCATGTTAGCCCGTGAATGCGGCCATTGTCAGACAAAAGTCTGTGCTCACAGGAAGACTGCCTGGCAGCCGCAGCGCGTGTCTCCCGGGGCCCCGGGTCCTCCCTCTCTGGCCCCCGCGCACCTTCTGCACCATCATGGCCTTGATGACCGCGAGGCAGGCCTTGCTGGCCACGTCCAGCAGCCGCCGGTTGTGCTGCACCGCCAGGACCTCGCGCTCCTGGGGGCTCAAACGCGCGGCGCGCGGCGGCCGCGCAGCGGCGCGCCATGCGATGAGCGCCTTGGCCTGGCAGGGGTGCGGGGATGTGGCGGAGGTTGCGGCCGCATTTGAGGCCTCACGCTCGTGGCCGGCGGCGTCATGCCCATCCGCCTCGCTGCAGCCGCATGCTTGCCGAGCCGCAGCGACCCGTTTCGCTGGAAATAGATACATGCAACCGCCTGCCGGCTACTAGCGTGACTCCTCCATGATCAATAAAAGCAATCAAGAAAGCGCATTCGAGTGCATGCTTCACCGCCATCAACGCGCAGCTTTGCCGTCAACTCCCGCCTAGCCCACCTCGCAGACTGCCGCCTCCACCTGCGCCGTGAGGTCCGCAAACCGCCGCTTCAACGCCCACCAGCGCCGCTGCCGCAGCCGGTGGTCACGTGCACTCGGGGGCCGCGGGCCGCTGCCACTGCGAGCGCCGCCGCCGCCACCGAAGCCGCCGCCGCCATCCTCGTCCTCATCCGGCTCCTCCCCCGGCTCAAGGTCTGGTGGCGGATCCTGCTGCTCCAGGCGTGCCTTTTTGGCGAGCGGCTCGTCACTGCCTGCCGCAGTGCCTGCCGCAGCGCCTGCCGCAGTGCCTGCTGCAGCGCTAGCAGCAGCAGCGTCTTCATCAGCAGCATCAGCGGTGTTGGCAGCTGCGCCCACTTCGCCTGCAGCCTCCATGGGGGACTGCTGATCAAGTCCCGTCCCTGGGGCTGCAACGGCGGCGTTGTTGCCCTGCTGTTGCAGTAAGGACCTCCCAGCGGACAGCTGTGCCAGCGTGCCAGGGTCGTGGGCCATTTGCGCCAGCTGCTGTGCGAGCTGCAGCCCGGTCATGCCGGCGCTGCCCTGCTGTGGCGCTTGCGCTGGCGCGCTGGCATGCGGGTCGAGAGCCGAGGGCAGCGGCACGACTAGGACATCCCACGAAGACGAGGACAGTTCAGGCCTGCCTTCTGCTGCGCTCATCTGCTTCTTGCCACGCTAGCTCTGTGCCAGTCCTGAGATCACCCTTGCTGTAAAATGCTTATCGGCCGCAGGCGATACGGATGCCCCTAGAAATATCGTAACATGCAAGGTGCAACGGCCACGGTACGGTAGCCCCATGTCGCGGCCTCGGGCACAGCATCAACTTCTTTGTCGTCTCACCCGGGACACACTTAGCGCCGGGGTTTGGCTGCTTGCTCCTGAGGTCGTCCATTCTGATACCTTTCTTTGATATCATACCTTACCGGCTCGTGCAACCGCAGTGTCCAAAGCCCAGGCTGGCACCAACACACCGTCGGCTCGAGGCCTGTCTCGTGAGGTGCCCGTAATCGCCTAATCACAAGGAAATTTCCCTTTTAGTATCTGAGCCGTCGCTACCCGCAGCGTCCCGCAGAGCGTGACGCACCAGGGTGTGTCACTGTGCGGCAGCTCTCGGCGCTTGTTCCAGGGTGCTGGCCACGATGGCTGCGGACCGGCTCGGCTTGGCAGCGCTGCTGGTGCTAGGAATTCTTTCTGGGATGGCATCAGCCCAAGTGCAGTCCGCCATGCCCGTGGTGGCAGGCACATTCCCACCGCGGTTGCTGGAGCGTAACCTGAGCTCCAACATCCCGGGCTGTGGCAAGGAGGGCAAGCCCTGCTGCTGCCCCGGTGCGCGGGGTTTGCTAGACAGAAGTTTGGTGGAAAAGGGGGGGGATCGACCGAGGCTTGTCAGGCCCGAGGTTTGTGCTGAGGGCAGGGGTGCCGCCGGCATGGCGGGGATTGCGGGTTCCCAGCACCAACGCCACGCGAAGAGGGGCGTGTGGGGGCTGGGCTGCCGATGGTGCCGCGTGGGTGGCACGCTGCAGCAGTGCCGAGCTCAAGCCCATCCCTCCCCCCTCACAAGCCGCATCCATGCGCCCCTGTGTCTTTCTCCCCACCCCCACCCCATTACCACCCCTTCTCGCGCTTACCTGCCCTTTGATCGACCACCCCCGCCATCGACACCACGTGCTCGCAGTGGCGGATGCGGGCCGCACAAGCTGCTGTGAGAACCGCGATCTTGCGTGCTACAAGTTTGACCGCGGGCCTGAGGAGTCAAAGGGCCTCTGCCTACCCATCGACCCCAAGCCTGTGAGCTGGGAGCTGCGTTGTGAGCCCTGGCTTAGGCGGACCAGCGGACGACAGCTCGTGATTTGCGGGCAGCTGGGTAGCGGCAAGGCCAGCCGCACCGGAATCACACTTGCGAGAGAACTGCACGCGTCCAGCCCCAATCCGCCTGTACTCCACCCCACAACGCATCTGCGCCTGCTGTATCTGCCCCCGACTCCTCAGGGCTGTGGCAAGGAGGACGGCACGTGCTGCTTGGCGTGGCGCGCCAATCGCTACGTCGTGTCGTGCGAGGGCGGGCTGACGTGCATCCCCCCGGCTGAGTTTGTGTACCGGAGCTCTGCGCAGCACGACCTGCTGGCTGCCAATTTTGCAGCGGCGTACACCAACCCCAAGGTCCTGGGCACCTGCAAACGCAAGCCCAAGTGCGGCGTCCCCCAGGGCCCCTGCGGCGTGGAGGAGGGCTGCGCGGATGCGGCGTGCCCCAAGGGGTTTTACTGCGCCAATTATGCTGACGCCACTGTGGGGTCGCGATGTGAGCCGCTGCCTGCGGACGCCGGCAAGCCTGGCGGCTTCTGCCTGCCCAACAACTTCCCAGTGAGAGGCCAGAGGCAGGGGTGGGGGGGGTGAGTGGATTGCCCTGCAATTGGGGCCGGGGGGAGTAAATGGGACGCAGGCGGTGATACAGGTGGTGCATTCACCATCGAGCATATCAGGGTGGACATACCGTGAATGCAGGGTCGCTGCTGGCCTTCAAACACCTTGATTGTGCGCAAGGTGTGCCCGGGGGCTCAGCGCAGCACCCTGAGTGCCCACCTGAACCTGGGTCGGCACGTCCCCCCCCTCCCCTGCACTGCATCAACTGTGACAGGCCGCACCCGTCCTGAAGCTCAGCGGGTGGCCGGAGACGCGCGCCCCGCCATATTGTCCCGGCAAGGACGACGTGTGCTTTGCGTTTGCAGGCCCGCTGACTTTGCGCACGAACAGCTACCTCACAATTTTTAACCCCAGCCTGGCCAAGAAGAGCGGCTCGCGCATCTGGCTGAGCCAGTGCGTCACAGTGCCCAAGGCCTGCGGCGGCATTGGGCAGCCCTGCTGCCCGGGTGTCAGCGTGGGTGTGGTGACAGACAAGCCGCTGCCCTCCTTCAACACATCATGGCAAGGGCGGCCCTGCGACGACACATCAACGCCTGACGGCGCTTACTGCAATGGTGCACCTTGGGGGGTTGCGGGGCGGTGGCAAAGGAGTGCTGTTGCTCGAGTGGGGGGGCGCAGCCGCGGGTGGGAGTGTTGCTGGAGGCTGGGCTGGCGCAGCAGGGCCACCGCAAGGCCAGCCTCCCTCAAAAGCCTGCACCCCACAAAGCGATCTGAAATTGGCCCTGTCTCAGTTTTCCCCTTCCTCAATACCTGGCGTGTCCTGTCGCAGGCCAGTGGACGGCTCTCGGAGGCCCCATGTATGGGCAGTGCGTCGCCAACACCAAGGGATGCAACGACATCGGCAACAAGTGCTGCATCCGCACCAGTGCTGACAAGTCCGAGGTGTGCAGCACTGGTTCAATTAGGTAGCAAGACTGTCCGCGTTGCTTGCCCTTTGCCTTAACTCGCCACCTACTAATAGATAGATAGATAAGGTACTCGTACCATAGCATCACTGCCATCGGCCTCGCGCTCATCAGAGCGGACCTCCTCATTCCTAACCTTCCAACGGATCTGCCAGCAAGCATACACATAAGGGGCAACAATACCTACTAACCCTGTACACCAACACAACCCCGCAGCGCTACTGCAAGGGGGGCGGCAAACGTGTGTACTGTGTGTTCACAGACAACACCTGCAGGCTCTGCCCCCGCGTCACCGAGACCCTGCTGGACTTCTTCGTCTGCACCTAGGGCAGCGCAAGGGGCATGTGCAAGCAGGAGGGACGTTCTGACGACGCACCAACGGACGCAGGACGCAGCGCCTGTCTCTGCGCTGGCGCGGTCCACAGTTTTTGAGCCAAGCGCATGATGGCACCGCTCAAGCACCCTGGCACATCCCACCACGTCAAGAGCAAGCACTCAGGCACTTGCATTTCAACGCTCAATGTTTTGGCCGGGGGCTTGCGCTTACAAGGCACCATGTTGGCCTTCAACGCGTCTGCACGACTGATGCTGAATTGGCATGGGCTAGGCGTAGGCCTTATGTGTGCTTGGCGCACATGGCCTACTGTGCAATGTCGAGGCGGGGTAGCGCTGTTGCAAGTGCCTGCCGGCAATATTTGATCAGGATCCCGTGTTGTTATTATCCTATTATGTCTCTGTGGGTGCCTGGCGCTCAACCACCTAGCGGCGCAGGTCTCCTAGTGCAGACTGCGGCACTTGTGTCCCTGCCACAGCAGCGCTATCTATCGGCGCAAGCGCCTGCCGTGCACTACGGTAGCATTGTTGACCAGTAACCATACAAGGGGCCGGATGCTGAGGAACGTGGCTGGCGATCGCCACCTGGCAGCGCACAAGGACAAAAAAACTGAGGGGACCAAGCGGTTTTGCCTTGAAGGTACTCTAGAGCCTGCTTGCTGATGTTTCACAAAACAGCTGCTCAAATCAAATTGTACAAAAGAGTAAAAAGTAGAAAAGTGAATGGGTTGATCTCATAGCACCCTCTTAGCGCCAGTCCGTCCGGCACCCCACCCCAACACGGGCCTTCACTCCAGTGCACGCAAAGGTAGGCAGCGCTCCGCTGCTTGCGTGGCCTCGCAGACGCCCATGGGCCTGCTGCGATGTGCACAAGACGACAACCGCTGCGGCTGCCGCAGCCGAGAACACGGCTATCACGACCATCAGCCAGCCCCAGCGACGAGGCACATAAGCCTGCATAAGCCAGCCGCCTAGAGTGCGCCCAGCATGCACCTGTGCCAGGACGGCATGGCCTCTCGGCCCCCCATGGGGCATGAAGCCAGGCAACGCGCCAACCTCCACCAGCGCCGCACCCAGCGGCCACGCGACATCGCCTCGACCAACAGCGACAGCACTGGCATTGGGAAGGCGCAGGCCCTGGCTCAGCAGCGCGGCGGCGTAGGGGCCCCAGGTGCAGTAGCGCTCCACATTTACAGAGTCCCCAAGGTCCGCTGACACTCTTGGCCAGGGCAGACCGCAGTGGCGCTTTGCGGCTGTCAGAAGCTCAGACGGCGTTGAGCCAGGCTCGAGGCGCAAAAACGTCGAAACGACGTAGAAACCTGCGGGCAGCGTTCAAGAGGGTGCTGAGTAGCTGTGCGTTGACATGCATGACTATGTGCGTTGGCCGCGTCGCCACACGCCCTAGGCTTGTCTCTCAAACGGTTGATATGCGAATCCAGTCTCCAGCCGCAGCTCCCCAGACCGGCAACCTGCCGGAAACCTGCCCACCTGTGAGGGCGCTGAACGTGCCAGCCAGCCGCGGCTGAAGCGAACCCAGCACGCACGTACTGCCTGGCAAATCTTGGCCCACAGGCGCAGGCGGGCAGGGTGCGCTGGCATTCACCAGCCGGTCTGCCAGCGCCAGACACGCCTGAAAGTTGGGCGCGCCCACCAGGCGCACTACCGGGGGGCTTGGCCTGACGCTGCTGTAGGCCAGCCGTGTGTATTGTGATGAGTACCCCTTGTGAAGGCAAGGGTGACGCACGGCCGGACCGAGTCCTTCAGCTGCGGGGCCCGGGGTGCTGCTGGCCTTCTTCGGTCCTGGCAGCAGTGGAGGTGCGGCAGAGGGCTTGGCAGCCAGCCGCCGCCAGCCGTGTTGCCGCCACGGCTGATAGCCGCCGGCTTGCTGCTGGTTGCTGCTGGCTGTGCCTGACTCGGGGTTCGGCGCTGGCAAGGGAATTCTGCTGCCTGGGAGTAACTTGGTGTGCTCAAGCATGCCGCCCACCATACGATCATGCCGGGTTGTTGCCCCCAGGTTGTCGACCGACACGTCCCACACAAAGAGCACCTGGCGGGTGGGGGGGCTGGCACCTAGCTTGCGACCGTTGTTCTGCGCTACTTGCAGTTGGTCACTGCTGCGGAGGCCTATCGCGGCTGCCCTTGCTTCAGCTGCCGTAATGCGAGCCACGGGGGGTCTGCGCCGCTCCTCCTCGTCAATGGCAAGGCCTGATGGCGACCGGTTGGGCATGGGTGCCCGGGGGCTGGTCGGCTGCACATTGACCTTTGCCAATCCTGCCACAAAAGGCACCAACAGCTCATGCGGCGCTGGCTCGCGGCCCTCCACACCGTCCTGTGGCACAATCGGTTGCCCCTCCTGCTGGCCCCTCGTTGGCTGCTGTGCAGCCTCAACTTGCAACTGGTGTGGCTGCTGTTGGAACGCTGGCAGCCCGTGAATCTGCAATGTCTGTCCCTGGCCCGGCTTTGGTGGCGGTGGCGGCGGTGGTAGCCGCTGCCGGTGCTGCTGGTTACTGGCAGCCTGGCCTCGCTGTCCAAGCCCGTGCTGTTCATCGGGCTGTCTGTGATGCTTTGCCGGATGCACCAGCTCCTCCTGCATCGTCTCTTGCGGCTCCTGCTCGTCATGCTCAGCGCGCCTCTTCTGCGCTTCCTGCTGCTGCCCGTGTTCTGCCTCCTGGCCTGCCTCCTGGCCTGCCTCCTGGCCTGCCTCCTGCCCTGCCTCCTGTGCTGCCTGCCGCTCAGCCTTCTGTTCTGACCCCTGGTCTGCTTTCTGCTCTAATTCCTCCTCCTGCTGCTGTTGCATCTGCTGCTGCTGCGCCCCTTCCTCCAACAAGAGCGTCACTGCCCGGTCAAACGCTTCGTTCAGGCCGTAGCCATGGAACGCGTGCGTGTGCAGTGAGTGCGTCACTCCCGCCAAGGTCACGTTGATCGCACCACGTTGCCACCTCGGTAGCTCGAATGCCACCTCCAGAGACGAGCCTCCCAGGTCCAGAGCGCCTACTGTCCGCATACTGCTGAAAGCACCGCCACTCAGATCGCCCCACGTGCCTGCCGAGGCTCCAGCATCAGGAACTGCGGCTCCGAGGCGACCTTTGTTGTAATTGAGCGCAACCCATCCATATGCAGCCTCCTCCGCACCGCTAATGATACGCGCCCATGCCGGCTCGAACCGGAAGCCTGACCGTGCCAGCAGCCGGCGTGTCTCGTCTAGCAGCGCGTTGCGCTGTGCCGGCGCCAGGCGCCGCAGGCCGCCGGTGCCCAGAAGAAAAATAGGAGTGGCGGCACGATCGCGCCTGGGCACCACGGCGCGCGCCCACTTCAGCAGCGGCTCAATGGCTTCCTTTTCAACACCATGCGGGCTGCTGACGTACGCATGCAGCCCTGGCTGCGTCTCCACTCGCTGCAAGAGGCAGGGCAAAATGGGGAGAAGGCATGTGCAAGAGCGTCCGTTCATCCTGCTGATACCTATCAAGGTACTTCAGGCCCAACGTCATCGTGGCGCACGGCAGCGCTGCTATCTGTGCTGCTGGCAACATTTCAGGGCGGCCGCAGTGCTGCTGTCACGTTCCCGCCCGCTCACATCGTACATGCCCTTGCCCAGCTTGCGGGGCACGTCAGAAGCCGCGGCCGATGGTGGGATGAGCCGCACCAACGGCAGTACCCCTGGCTGCAGGGGCGGCCGCCATGTGTACGCGTAACTGCAGGGGTGGTGGTGGCAATAGCGGTGTGACGAGAGCGCATTATCCTGTACGTCGTCATCTTCTAATGCTCCACAGAAATTCACCTCGGCGGTGAATTTCTGGCGCCGCATGCAGGCCAATGCAGAACCATGCACTTCATGCACCAGCATGCTAGGCCCATGCAGCGTACAAGGCTCACACGCGCGAACCACTCGATCCGGCATCCAGCACCAACACGTGGCGAGGGGCCCCTGTGGCAGGCTGCTTATCAAGCTGCCCTGGTATGTCAGCTGCGGCTGGCTGCATGCGCATTTGCATGTGGCCCATCGACGCTGACGGCACCACCAGGCCAACGACCATCAGCGCGAGCCCGGCCATCAGCATGAGGGCCAGCGGCAGCTGCAGCAACAGGCGGTCACGCCAGCGCCGGCCTTGGGGATACGCCACGGCCGCATACGGCGTACGAGGAGAACTGTCGGTGTACAGCGGGTCAACATCCGTGCTGGCGCGGCGCAGCAAGGAGTGCATGTCCGCTGCAGCGGCAACAGCGCGCCCTCACTGGCACTGCACGCATGCCTTGGGGCCGATCAACCAGCGGTCCATCAGCCGTGATGCCAGATATAACGGTATTTTAGTTAATAATCGTGACTTCAAATCGGCGCAACGGTTCCGCCAGGATGGAGGTTGTCCTTCATCTATCAATCTAGTCCTGCGACCGCTGCTGTCCCTCCTTAGGTTTAATCACAGGTATGATAACTCGCACGCAGAATCACTCTTACGGTTACGGTACCGGCCCCTTCCAAACCAGGTTCTCATGAATCACATGACGTGCTCGACTCATCTAATACTGCTTGTGCTGGGTTGGCCGCCACGCCAGCACATGCCAATGCTGGCTATTGTCACATCACTCGTCCTGCGTGCCAACTTGCAAATGCAATCTGTATGACCATCCTTTCACCCTACCGCTAGGGTCTGATGGTTGGGATCCATGCATTACCCGATCTGATCCCCCTTGGCCAACTGCCAAAAGGCTGTTGCGGATAGTTGGGGCAGGCCACACCGACTTCACCCGCATTGCTTCATTCCAAACAGCGGCTCGCTCCCAAAAATATGCTCTTGATGTGCAACATTCCCAAGACATGCAGTGTTGCTGCTGCAGGCGGTCAGCGCGCACTCTTCGCCTGCGCCCTTGCGCCTCTCCCCCCCCCCCTGCCGCTAGGAAATCTGGGGTGGTCAATTGATAACAAGAGCCACACAGCTTCAGGCATTTAGCGTTGTCCTAAAACCTGGGGTGGCCAAGTGGTTACAATAGCTGCACTAGCAGCCTGTCGCGGTGTTCATCCCACAGCTGTATCATAGGCGTTCAGCGAGCCCCAACAGCTATTCATGCGGCTTTTTATGCGGCGACCATGAGCACGTGGCTGCGCATTTTTCCAAAGATAAATTAATGCTGTGCAGAGCTGCCCTGCAAGTGTGGTCGTCCCATGAACAATAACGGCACGCCGCCTACGCTGCCGGACTGGTCCCTGGTGGCATCTGCTGGGCAAACTGTGCACAGGGTCTGACGCAAGATAGCCCATCGTGGAAGGCTTCGTAGAACAGTGGCCTGCCCTTTACACATCTATTCCATCCGGCAGCACCTTTGACAAGCCCATGGTCGTGGCCACGAGCGGTACTAGCAGTGCAGTGTCACTGTATGATACGCCCTACACCTGTCAGAGTGTGTGCAGACCAGCTTTGTGCGACAGCCCGCAGCAACAAGACGGCGCCCAGCACTGGTGGTAGTGGTGGCCTCCAGATGATAACCGTAGGGTCACAAAGGCTGACAACAGACCCCGTGCCACTCGGCCCACCCAAGTGCTGTCTGCTGTGCCGGCTGCTATGTTACCGCCTCTCCAATGCTGGAAAATCTTTCCGGTCGTTGCATTTATCTTTCCATCTTACGGAGTGACCGCGGGAAGGGATCTACGCAGCGGCCGATTTGTCGACAACAGAGAGCACAAGCGCAAGCGTGGATGATCATATGTGAATAATGTATGCGTATCTTATCGTATAAGCCACAAGTATCGCGTCATCGGCAGTCCACGCTGTTCCCCGCCAATTTGGGCAAAGGCCGCGGGGCGGACGTGCCGAATTCTAGGCGGCAGCTCCATCTATGGAAGTAAGTGAGCGATCGAATGCCTCTTCAGGATGCCGCACGCTGCTCCGCGATGCAGCGCCCCCACTGCCCCTGCGCATTGGCATCAACGCATCGGCTGGGACGCATACATCCACAAACCTGCAGGGCCGCCAAGCCCCTGGGACCCTGCCAACTGTCGAGATCAGGACGGGTGAGTGGGCTAAACACGTTCCGCTGTCCATGCTGCCATACGTGCAAGTGGCCCCATAACCACCCCGCACATGTGTCTCCGCTGGCAGAGCTAAAAGTAGTCAAGCCTGCCGCTCCCGCCACTTGCCTTTGCAGACTTCATGCACACACCACCTTTTGCACCGCCTTTTGGCGGGCTTGCCAGCTTTGGACCAAATTTGACCCCAAGCCAGCTTTCTCAGCTGCAATTCCTTGAGCTGAGCGAGCAGCAGCAACAGCAGCAGCACCAGCAGCAGCACCAGCAGCACCAGCAGCACCAGCAGCACCAGCAGCACCAGCGGCACGAGGAGGTGGAGTTGCAGCTGCAGCGGCAGCGATGGCGGCGCGCACCCCTGTCCATAGCACGACTGCCACCATTGGGGCCACAGCAGCAGCAGCAGCAGCAGCAGCAGCAGCAGCAGCAGCAGCAGCAGCAGCAGCAGCAGCAGCAGCAACAGCAACCTCAGGCGATGGACCTTTCGGACGACGGGCGAGCGCGTGGTGATGCCATTGCCATGGGTGCAAGGGCAGCAAACATGGTTCATGGTGCGGTTGGGCAGGAGCTGATGCCTGGACATACCTGTGCGGTGAGCGCCTAGCGGCAACGACGAGGCACCTAGAGCATGCGTGTGCGAGTGCGCAGAGAGGTACCTGGTGATGCCTGTCTGCCTGCTACCGCATCAATGCCTGGCTGGGACACGCACGCGTGCGCGCGCGCACACACACACACACACACACACACACACACACACACACACACACACACACACACACACGTACGCACGCACGCACGGACGCACGCACGCATACACACACACACACACACACACCCACGCACACACACACCCCTTGCCACACCCTACTTACATCGTAGGTTGCTGACCTGGTCCTAGGCGAGGGCCGCCCTGCCTCAAGTGGCAGCTTTGTGGGATCCGGCTGCCCTGCTGAAGATGACGCTGCTCATGGCAGAAGCAGCAGAGGACGTGGCGATGGTGGCGCAGGCTGCATCAGCGGCACCAGCGGCCTGCGGCAGCCTGTTTTGCGGGACAAGAGGGGCAGCGACCAAGCCTACAGCAGCGGCGGTGTGACTCCCACTCTAAGCGGTGAAGCCGACGGTGGCAGCGGGGCTGCCCAGGCCGCCGTGGTCGGGCCGCTGGGTTTCAAGCCGAGCGAGCGCACAGGCATCAAGCAAGGCAAGGGGCTCCGCCATTTCAGCATGCGCATGTGTGAAAAGGTGGAGTCCAAGGGGACCACGACGTACAACGAGGTGGCTGATGAGCTTGTGGCGGAGATGAAAGGCGCCGTGCTGGAGGACGGCACCACCTACGACGAGAAGAACATACGGTGGGAGGGGCAAACTGGTCTGGTCATTCAGCGCGTCACCGAAGCGCGCTGTGTGGCGCATGCTGCCTGCACTCATAGAGCAGGAGCAGAGCTGTGCGGGGTCCGCACTTTGTCAAAACCTTAACTTTTTGAAAAGCACGGGCAGCGCATGAAAGCCTTCGGGCGGCACTTGCAACTCAGCAGCTGCATTTATATGCCATTGCTACTGCTGTTGCCTTGGCTTGGCGCAGGCGCCGAGTTTACGACGCGCTCAACGTCCTGCTGGCCCTGGACGTCATCTCAAAGGACAAGAAGGTGAGCAGGGCGTCGACACAGGATGTGCTGGCTCATTGCGATCCCTATCAGTCATGCCTCCTCGCATGTCGTGGTCCTATGGCTTCTAGTAATGGATCCCATCCCCGATAACATAATTGCTCTTGCTGTGCCCGCTTCACCCCAATCCAGAACATCACGTGGCGGGGGTTTGCTGCCGCGTCTGCCACATTGAGCGGTGGAGCCAGGGGCGGAGCTGGGGGCGGCGGGCCTCACTCGGTGGTGTCCCGTGCGCAGGCTGCGCACGCAGCGGCTGCGGCCACTGTGAGTCGCAAGGCGGCTGTTTTGGCCGACCTGGTGGAGCAGCAGCGGGCGCTACGAGCACTGCTGACACGCAATGCTAGCGGAGGCGCGCCACCCAGCGGCACGCGGCTGGAATTGCCGTTTGTACTTGTGCAGGCCAAAGCCGACGCGACAGTGGAGGTGCACATCAGCGACGACATGCGAGAAGTGCAGTTTGAGTTTGGCGCTCGGCCGTTCCGAATCCACGACGACGGGGATGTGCTGCGCCTGATGACAGCCGCACAGGGGGTGGGCAAGGGGACGCGCCAGCATGTGCCTACTGTGCGGCCGCAGCAGCAGCAGCAGCAGCAGCAGCAGCAGCAGCAGCAGCAACAGCAACAGCAGCAGCAGCAGCAGCAGCAGGTGCTACGGGCGCAGGCCCGAGGACCGCCACCACCGGGGCAGCAGCTCCCAAAGGCATAGCCCCAGGCTATGTCCCATTCAGAGCCGCAGGCGGTGCGTGTCGCGAACATGGCTGCAGCGGGTGCAGTCTCAGCCACAAGCAAATGCCCTGGCCGGCGCAGATCAGACTGTTGCCGTGCCTTGCCTTTCAGGCTGGTGGCAGGGTGCCGCATCAAGATCAGCTGACAGGCAGCTTTCATGGCGCTGGACAGTGCGTGCATTGGCCTTGAGGGTTCCTTGCAACACTTGCAGCGTGCATGGCTGATTTCCTGTGATCCCGCCTGCCTGAAGGTGTGGCTGGAGACCCAGGTCGTAATGCTCGTTGGTAGCGGCTCGCACACAACGGAGGCTCGCACACAGCCTGACTTTTAACACTCACCCGGTCCTTTCGGGTCAGGTGGGCAGAGGTCAACATGGGGATTCCACTCGCAGGAGGGAACGCCAGGTGGCTCGACACACAAGCGCCACGTTCACAGGGGAGAACGCATTGCACACACCCGAGCATCCAAATTGACTGCAGTGATTGATTACAACGAGTGAGTCATTTTGTGTAAGTCACATCTGCATCATAGCCGCCTGCGTTGTCAGTGCGCCCTTTGGGCATCATGACTTCCCTAATTATTTTGTGATGCTCTCAGTAACTTGGCCTGCTGACTGATATTGCAAATGGGGGAGATTGCGGACTAAGGCTTTCCAATGTCACCACACAAAGATATGTTACAAAACAGCATTGACAGCACTCACTTCACAAACAACGGCATCAGGATCACGGCAAGTGGCTTTGCGGGAAGGGTGGTGCGGGAGGCTGAGACGATTGTCACTGCAACCAAGCTGCAACCAAGCTGCTGAACCCCAGTCATTGTCACGTGGGGAGCGTCGTATCCATCCTGCAGACTAGCTGCTGGTGTAAGTTGACCAGAATTTTCCCCCAGCCGGCTGTGCCTGCTGCACTCCACTGCTGCGAGCAGGTGCTGGCGTGTCGCTGCTGCTCATCGCACCGCTGACGTCTACAGGCAGTGTGCTGGGCCGCGGCCTGGAAGCTGCAATGGGGGTGGGAACCGGTCCAGTACCAGCCGAAAGAATGTCCCCGCCACCCCTCTCTGGACTGGTGGACGGCGTGACATTGACTGGGAAGCTGCTCACATGGCCGCCAGATCGCGAACTCTCGGACCGCAGCACCCGGGCCGGCGGCTCCTGTGCGCGTCCGCGGTTCTGAGTCTGCAGGAGCTGCGCCTGCGCCGCCGTCTGCTGCTCCACCAGGGCCAAGATCTGAGCCTGCATGCTGCGCATGGCCTCCTTCTGTGCCACGATATGAGACTCCAGCTGCTTGATCCTGATCACGAAGGCCTGGTTCTGGTCAGAAACCAGGTGCACCTGAGAAATCGGAAGGGAGACGGGGGCGAGGCACAGATCATAAGCAGGGTTCGCAACACTGGGCTTGCCAAGAGACTGGCCCGTGCCAGTGCAACGCCCATGACACAGCAATGCCCTGATCAACCCCTCCCTCCTTTCACAGTTAAGAGCAGCTTGCGCCTCTCTCACCTGTGACCTGAGCTTGTCCACCTCACCCAGCAGCAGGTACCGCAGCTCAGACAGCGCCGCACCACCGTCGATTGCTGGCGAGATGTGAGGGTAACGCTGCTGGATCACCGCTGGCTGATCCACAGGGCGCTGCTGCTGCTGCTGCTGCTGCTGCTGCTGCCATAGCTGGGGCTGCTGTTGCTGCTGCTTTGCCTGCAGCTCTTGCAGCTGCTGCTGCTGCTGCTGCAGCTGCTCCTGAAGGGCCTGCACCTGAGCCTGCTTGGCGTGCTGTGCCTGCAGCGCCCGCACCGCCTGCAGCTGCTGCTGGAGAGAGTCTATGTGCTCCATCTGTGCGTGGTGGTGCAGCTGCTTGGCCTGGTGCACCTGCTGGGCCTGCAGCGCCTGAAGCCTCTCCTGAACCGCCTGCAGCTGTGCCTGAAGCGCCTGCTGTTGCTGCAGCAGTGAATGCTGCTGCTGCTGGGGGTGGTGGCCATGACCAGCCCACGCGTGGGCGTGAGGCGCCTGCCCGGCTTGGTGCTGAGCGGCCATCGCCGTGGCCACCTGCCCAGCATGTTGACCAGAACCGCCGCCGCTGCCGTCGCTGCCATTGTTGCGGGCCAACGGGCTGCCCGTTGCATTGGTTGCTGCCGCAAGAACATTTAAGCCGCCGCTGCTGCCGCTGCTCTGCAGGCTGCTAGTACCCGGCACTGGTGGAGGCGCACGCACGGGAGCTGGCCTCAGCTCTGCTGCAGGCGTTGGCCGAGCCTGGTGGCCCGGTGCAGCCGCTGGCACTGTGATGGGCGGTGGAGTGAGGGCTGATGCGCGGGGGCTTGAGTCGTTAAACCCCGCCCAGTCCACTGCGGGGTCAAAGCTGCCGCCGCCCACAAGGCTCCCGTGTACCGACGTGCGTGCGCTGCCACCGCTGTCTGCCACTATATTTTGCTGAGCGGCTGCCGCATAACCTGACAGCGCCGCTGCTGGGCTACCGCTCGTAGGGTTCAAGAGGTGGGGTGCCACAGGAGGCGGCGCAATAGGCGGGATGGTGGGCGCAGACGCTCTGCCCCCAGCAGAGCTTCTGCTGCCAGCGTCACCCTGCGG